TTTTTTATCAGTTATACAACTAATTAAAAGAGATATACGACTATATTGTGTTAAAGATCTTTAGTCGATAGTAGAGAGAAAAATATGATTTTATCTTTAGGTTGATAATAATCAATAATGATTACATATTCAGTATTTTGATTTTTCATAATTATTTTGAGTAGACATTTTATCATGATAAGAGTTTTGTTATTTTTTAAAAAGTAGTTCATTTATAAGGTTGATATTTTTTGTAAGTGAAGTTTTTCACATCGAATTGTATTTCGGAGGTCGATTTGAAGAGCTAAAGCGTGTGTATGTGAACAATATACATACAAAACCAACCATATAAAATGGCCATCAATGTTGTTGTGCTTGAGAGTAGACTAATCAAGGAACTAATTGTCATTTTTGAATGAACGTTACAATTTTGTTTAGAAGAACGTGACGGATTCATTATTAAACGATTAAATTAGATTTTAGAGAAATATAAAATAGTGTGTTTTCCTTATAAACTATTATTTGAAAAATAAATTTCTACAGACAAATAGAGTATTGAATCATATTGCTTGGTGTTATAAGAGCGCTGATACTAAATAAGCAGGATTGTAAGAAAGTAATATACATATATCGAAATAAATCAATAGAAAATTCTTTTTATCAACAAGACTGAGTCTTTTACGTCATTCAGTCACAATTTATTTTTGTTATTATGGTTGAAAATATTATTCAAATAGTAATATCAATAAAAAATATTGTCTTTTCATGACTATCCTACGGAATAAACAAAATGACAAAAAACGACGACATTCGTGTAAAAAATACGAAAAAAAAATCGATACATCTGATAATGTGTAATGGACATTATTTTTGATGTATTACATTTGCACTAATTAAAATGGAAATTATCATAAAAATCATCAAATGAAATTGATTCATAATGATAATCATTAAATAGAATTGATTAAAAATCAAAAGTATGGAATGATTTTAATGTAAATTATTATTTTAATCAATGAAAATCAAATACATCAAAAATAATATCTGTTTCATTAGTATAATGTCATTTTCTTCATGGTTTATTCCCTGTGTAATATTTTCTTATGATTGTTTTCTAATAAATGATACTAATGTATTTTATGATTGTATTAGAGTTGATTTTTTCAATCCTCTACATCCATCGATAATCTATGAAAAATAAACTTCAAATATAATAAAAACTCTTAAAACATACAAAATGAAGATGTGAAAATTTCAGCTTTATTTCATTAGTATAGAAAGGATTGAGTTTTGTGACTGATATAAAGTTTGTTCCAGTTTATATATCTAAACAGAATACATAATTTAGGTGCCAAATGATTCATCACAAATTGTATATGTTTGGATTGATGCTCTTATTAATTATTTAACTGTTGCTGGTTATCCAAATGAACTAGTTCATTGGCCTCCTAATTGTCAAATAATTGGAAAAGAAATTATTCGATTTCATGCAATCTATTGGCCGGCATTACTTATGGGACTTAATCTTGAATTACCACATCAATTAATTGTTCATGGACATTGGTTGAAAGACGATAGAAAAATGTCAAAAAGTGTTGGTAAATAATAACTTTTGTCTATTTATCTTTTGGAAAGTTTATTATCCTTCTTAATTTATAGGTAATGTGATTGATCCATTTGATTTACTAAGCAAATTTCAATGCGATGGAGTTCGCTATTGTTTATTACGTGAAGATATACTCTCACAAGATGCAAATTTTAATGAATATAAAATGAAAAAATATTTAAATGCAGAATTAGCAAATACACTTGGTAATCTACTTAATCGTGTTACATCATCAACAATAAATCCACAACAAATCTATCCATCTCATCCTTTACATTCATATCCTTCTTCAACAAAAGAACTGATCGAACAATGTACTAATCTTCCATCACGTGTCGCACATGCCTATGATTCATATGAATTCTATCATGGAATTATTGCTATTATGGATGTTCTTCGAACATGTAATGGTTATGTACAATCTGAACAACCATGGTTATTAGCTAAATCATCTAAAGAATCTGATCAACAACGTTTACAAATATTAATTTATTCAACACTTGAATGTTTACGTATTTGTGGTATACTTCTTCAACCAATTATACCATCGATTGCTAAACAATTACTTGATATACTTGCTATTGATCAAGCAAAACGTACATTACATGATTGTAATATTTTAATTGAACATAATGAAAAAAAAATTAAATATTATTAAAAATGAACGTATTTCTTTGTATCAACGTTTACCGATTGTAGAAAGAGATGTATGAAAAATAAACGAGTATATTCATCATACGTTCTTTTTTTTTCTCTCTTCTTTCTTTTGACGCATGAAGCGTAACTATTTCATACTTATCAATGCTGAGTTAAGTTGAGGATGAAAGAAATTAGTTCTACGTTCGTGACCGGTGTATAGATATGATAAGAAAAAAAAGTGTAATCATAACTGTTACCCTCTTTACCTAGGTGTGTGCATTAAACTGTGACCAAAAAAAAAAAGAAAAAGAAAAAGACAACGAAAGGAAAGCAAAAAAAAAGCTATACAATATATCCGATGCAAGATAATGGCCATCAAATATCAGCCGATTTTCGTTGTCAGTGTTCTTGAAACTAACTATTATTGATTGACATAAATAAGACCATGACTTTTAGCTTTACTTTATAAAATTTAATAGACACATTATTTACACGAAAATTTAACATGGGTCTTGGTTTATCTAAAAAAGGTAATAAATCATTGAATGATCCTAGTATTATATTCTATTGTTATTATGATTACTAGATTAACCTATTTATTTTTTATATAGAAAGATTTGTTGTGAATGGTCATACTTATAAAATAATAAATATAGTCGGTCAAGGTGGTGAAGCTACTGTATATCAATGTGAGGATGAAAATGGTTATCGACATGCTGCTAAAGTATTCTATTTTTCACGTTTTCCTCCTCAGCAATTACGTCAACGAGTTGATGGATTTCTTAAAGAAGCACGTATATTGAGATATTTAAGTGGACGTTCTCCACATTTTGTTACTTTGGTTGATTATGAATATAAACCTAGTGAAAATGTTGGTTATATGGTGATGGAATTAGGAACTGGATGTTTAAGACAACATATGCAAGGTTTACCATTGAACGATCAAGCTCGAAATATGTTTTGGCGACAGATTGTTGGTATATTGAAAGCTTTAGAAGACGCACAAATTGGTAATTCAATGAAAAAAAA